TTGTGATGGAAACCAAACTTAATGGTAACCAATTAAGTTTAATAAATAAATGATGGATTTAGTGAGCTAAGAGTGGTTTGATAAAAAACAGATCAGAGTCTAAATCTAAAGTAAAAGAATTTACCCTTAGAATAGCGATTGAAAAATATTTTTGTTTTATAACTACATTTTATTTTAGTTACTACATTTTGTTTTTATTTGTTTTTAATTAATATCTGCTTTAATTTCGGGAAAGATATTTGGTTTTGGTGGCAAAATCCTATCGCATTTGGCTAGTATTGGATTATTCAAAACAAATATTAAAACATTCCAACTTCATTTATTTATGTATTTATTTATTTAAACATATATTTTCGTAATGGATTTGTTGTAACCAATCGATAAATTGATTATTTCCATAATACAGTGGGGTATTTGATGTCGCCAAACCACCCAGAAAGCCAGTAAGTTCCAACTCATCTTTGGCCCATCCTGCTGGGGCCCAAACCAATTTAGCCGCTGCAGCCGTCGCAGCTTGACACTTTTTGGCCACGTTGTTGACAAACTATTTTTAATATTGAAAGGCGGCAGGCAGCGTTTTACCCAAGTGGCTGTGTGTGTGTGTGTGTGTGTGTTGGTAGGCTAATGTGAGAGAGCACATTACGTATACGTATATGAATACGTATCCGCAGCGTTGCACGCGCTGCAGGCTTTGAATTGAATTTCAACGGCATCTGCTTTGGCAGTGGCGCTCCTCTCTGCGCCTTCCTCCTTTTTTATTTGCCTCTGCTCGTGCACTCACATGACCTTGGATCTGGGAATGCTCTCCATTAGCCTCCAGTCGTCAGCAAGTCCGTTTTTCATGTGGGCTGACGTTTGGCATCAAGCATGGCGGAAGATGAAGAGCATCGTTGGTCGATAGAAGTCCCCACATGCTCGTTTTCAGTTTCACTTTGAGGCTAGATGAATTTAAAACGGTTGAGTTGAAAAACATTTCGAAAATTTTACTTTCCATTTTTAGGCATTTAAAAAGATAGAAACAGGATTGTTTATTAACGTTATGGTCTACAGTAATACATATATAATAAACATATATTTTATATTTATAAAATATAAATTTGTTACCTTCATCTAAAGAGTAATTTATTAATTCCCAAAATTGTGCTAAAATTCTTTTGAATCAATAAACCATCATAGAAAAATATATACAGGAAATTTCAGGGAATTCCGTTCTCTGTTTGCTTTTAAGCCCCCGCGTTTGGCGTGCGCTGATTGATTTGTGTGCCTTCAGGCTTGCTGGAGTATTTTTAATTAAAATTGCGACAGTCATTGGTTCCTGCCAGAGTCCTCAGCTTAAGGTTTCAAGCACCTGCCAGCCACCCACGCGCGATAATCTTTGACTTTGGCAGCGGCGACAGGTTGCCACGGGGAAAGAAGAGGAGGGGAGGGGAGGTGCGAGGAGGGGCAGGATATTCCACTTTAGGCAAGGCAAACTTCTGTGTTACCAACTCGTCCTTGGTGCCGTGGGCTTTGGCCTACTTTTCAATAAGCCACCACAATGGAGTTGCCAGTTATTGGCCATTGTCTGGTGGTCTTGCTCCCATTGCGAAATCCAAATCGAAATCAAAAGCGCCACGTGCGCAAAACTACTCAAGAGGATGGGGTGCAGCAATACAATCTAAAAAATTTGAATAAATTCCATGAAAAATAATGTCCACCATTTTATATGCCATTTTTACACTTCTAAATAAAGTTTATTTTTACATATTTGGGGATCAGGTTTTTTGTAGTTATTTTTTTACATTTCTAAATGTAAGCCTAGAATGTATTTAGGCCACACTTTAAATTTTACTAATGAAGTTTTTCTAAAGAACAGTTCACAGGCATATTTCGATTGATAAAACAGAATGAATAGAATTTCCCAACATTTTTCTCTCTGTGGGGTTAAATGCATTTTAATGGAGTATGCAGTGGGTCACGAATCGGCTTTTGAATGTTTCGAGCGAACCAATGGGTGGCCCCCAACTTGACCTTGACAACCTTTTCTATATATTTTAATTTTTGCGTGTCCTGCGGGCCAACTCCACCATATGGAATTTTCCCCGGCTGATTGCCCATGACCGGCAAGATTAATTAGCAAAAAATTCGCTACGAAACACATTCGAGGGCACGTAATACCCGCCAGTCGTTAGCTCACATCCCATTTTAGCCGGTTTTTCAATTTGGCAGTGCCCAGCCCAGCGACTAACTATTCGCCAGTCTCTCTTTTTTGTGACATTAATGAAAGGAAAACATGGAAATGTATTTACTAGCTTGTCTCCTACCAAATCGTTACGCCATCGTGTGGACTTGTTGTCTATTTTTTGTTTCATTTGTTTTTTGCTGTGCCCCCAAAACGGAAGCCTGTCCGTCCATTCGCTTGTTTTCCTTTTTGCCGGCCCCTCCCCCTTTTTCCGCAGCCTTTGTCTCCGCTCCTGTCAAGGTCGTTCCTAATGCCTTCTGATGCGACACATGTGAGCCATGTGAGTGGGATTCAGCCCGTCAGTGGGCCCCAGTGCCTTCTCCCGATGATTGACTTGGCAGCTGGCGTTTCCTGCTCGGACCACAGGCTGTCCCGGCAGCAACAGGATTGCTCTCTATGTCCAGTCCTTTGTCCTGGCTAGGAAATTGAATTTGCGACGCCCGATCTCCGTCCTGCGGCCTGCACTTGACCCGATTGCTGCTACTCACGGACTGCCCAGTCCATCATGATTTATGCCAATGATTTAAGCCCGGTTCGGGTCAGTTTAAATGGGTTTCATTTAACTAGTTCCAAGTCGCAGCGCAGGTTTATGGAAAAATAAATTCGTAGTAATTAAAATAAAATGTAATATTCTATATTTTGATTTCCATATGGAAACTATATAATACAGTCGTCCGATTTGTATAAAACTAAAACCGTATAGAAGTTACATTTAGGGTCACCTTTCTACAAGTCATCTGAAACTTGAAAACAAAATGACAAATTTGCAAAAGCAACTTCAGCACTTCTAGTTTTCGTAGAATCAAACTCAAATGTAAAAATCACATTAAGTACAATGCCTTCCGATGTGTCAGTTCATTTTCCTTACTCGGTCGTTTACTCACACATTATGATATTTACATGCTATAAAGCCTGTGGCTCAAGATCTCACATTTCGGCATCGTCATCTGGAAGTTTGTTGAGCTAAAACAAGTAGTCGGAGCATAATCGCCGAAAGCAAGATAACAATCCACAATTCCATGTGGCCGTTGGGCCGCAAAAACATTTCCATTGTACCGGAGACCGCTTCTCATTTGCTTTTAGCGAGAAACTTTCATCATCGTTGTCGAGCTCATCTATTTGATATGTGCGACAATTACTTTTGGGCTTTTATTGTGGCTCCCCTTAGCACCATGTAGACTCGCTTACGTGAGTGGTATGTTGTGTAGTTGTGCTTAATAGAATTGTCAATTCAAACATCCGAATTATTTTAGATCGGTAGATAATGGCCATAGATACATACGTGTGCTCTCAATTAATCTTGTATTTTCTATACGCTACTTTTAATTAACATTAAAATTTTTTTTTTTGAACATTACAAGAATTCAGTATAAACTTGTGTTTACCAGAATTTAATTAGCATATTCCTAATCTAATCTGTTTTTAAGCTCTTTTAAAATATTAATTTATTTTGCTGAGAGTGGGAGATATCTATGACTTGATATGAAAGATTCTTATTCTAAAAACACTGTTCAATGTTTCGAAAAAATAATATATTTTCCACGCATTTTAATATCATTGAATTAAGTATTGACATAACTAAAAATATGAATCGATATATATTTTTTATTGAGTCTATTTTGATATTAATGGATAACTTTTGGTCGTAACCCCCTACTTAGCCTTCGGGTTCCGTCTCTTTTCCCTTCTGAGTGCCTCTTTATTTTGTGGCTCTTTCAAAATAAGCTCCACAGCAGGTGGACATGTGTATCACTCGGTTTGTGGCGCTCTGCTTCCGAGCTTCCGTTCGCTGGAGAACTACAGAACTGGGGAACTAGAGAGCTGGAGAGCTGGAGAGCTGGAGAACCGAGAGCCCGAACGATCCACTTAGTGAGTCGCGCACATTGGAACGCAGCAGACGTCGCAGGGGTTTTTTTTGGGGCGAAACGATCCAGATTTCGACAGAGTCAGAGTTGGATATGAGTTTAATTCACATGTTTGTCAAAATTCTAGGTGACTTTTTTTCGTTTGTCGTTTTAATTAAAATTTCCAAGATCGATATTCGCGAGCGGAGTGAAAATCGCTGTGTGTTGACGTGAGTCAAGGGATCAAAAAGTCGGCGGGTATGTGTGTTTACTCAACGATTCGCAGACCGGACAACACAAAACAAAAAAAAAAAACATCTTTTCATATCTGACTTTGTCGGAAAAATTGCTGTGAAACGCCAAGCAGGCCCGATATTCAATTTGATTTTCCATTTATTTTACTTTGATATGCTTCGATTTGAATTGCCTCGGTTCGCTCGTTTGCTAATGTTGATCGATCTATTTTGAAGCCTATCCAAGCTTGTGGCTGCGATTTACACCAGGGTGCTAAAATCGCCACAAAGCAATGGCATTAAGTGCGGGGCCAAATTGGCTTTTAGCGCGATCTTTACTTTTTTCTGGGCCAGGCAAATATGGTTAGCACGCCCAGGTCGATTAAATGCGTACTGGGGATCAGCAATTTTTCTCAAGAGATAAAATCAGTAATAGTTTGTAAAGTAGTATCTAAACAGCGTAAACTGAAAGTTTTAGGAAACCAATGTCTAAAACAAGAGTGCGAAAATACAGTTACAAATCCTTATTCAATTCGATCTTTTATTAGAACATTTTACATATATTTGGTATACAAAATATTTGCATTAAATAATCATAGCATTCATTAGCTCTGATATAGCAATTAGCGTTGACATTATAAATCCCATTATTTAAAAAAATCAAAAAAAAAGTTAATTAATTTGGGTGTTATAATATAATGTGATAAAGTTGTATAAACAATTTTCGATCCTATCTCAAAGAAGAGTTCTGTTGTCTTATAAATACTGGTTCTCTTTAGAGAACTTCCCCTGTGGACAGCTGAAAGCAAATTGTGCAATTCAAGTGAAATCAAATGAGTAAGCGGCAATCGGTGGGCCAACTTTAATTGCAGCTAGAAAAGTGCCTCAAAAGTGAACAGCAGTAACAGCAGCGGAAACATCTTGTTTAAGCCAAACAAATGATAAGATAAACTTCGCTTCGATCGAGCTGTAGAACCGCGACGATAAAAGAGGAGTGAAGGAAAAGCCGACTGGATCGCATCCCAAAAAATCACACAGCACCAACCCATATGTTCGAGACGCGTGGCAATGGAAATTAGTGTGAGACCAGAGCCCAGAGAAGCATCAGTTATCAAGAGGGAGACACGCAGGTAGAGCGGATCAGGATCAGGATCAGGAGACATGCGCAGCGGGCGGAACTATGTGCAGCGGCAAAGCGACACGCTGGAGAGCAGCTTCGAGCTGGAGGGGCCCGAGGAGTTGGAGCAGGATTCCGAGGCGGAGCAGGTCAATTCACCGGGAAGCAGGAAAGGCAAGCCGGCGGAGGCGGGCGAGGAGCGTGATCGGCAGGATCGGCAGGATCGGCAGGAGCGACAGGAGTCGGGTGAGCAGACAGACACCTTGAGCACCCACAGCAGCAGCTCCACGCCGACGACGATGGATGTGGCCGATGTGGAGACCATTAGCTCCTTGCCCCTCTCTCCCCCGCCTACGGCGGTCGCGGCAATCAGCTGGTCAAGCGGCACAACCCTCCCAAGGATCAGCAGCAGGCGGACAGCAGCTCCAGCTCCGGTTCTAGCTCCAGCTCCAGCTCCAACCAGCAGCCCGATCTAGACGATGTGCCCACGGTAAGTGGGTGTGGCGGTCCAAGATGCAGCGACACAACTAATGCCGAATCCTCATCCTCCCCATCCTCATCCTCTTCCACGACCCCGCAGACGTCGCGGTATGCAGCTGCAGCGGCACATCCCAGCGCCGCCTTTGCGGAAACGGCGGTGGCCATCTCCTCGTCGGGATCGGGCCGGACTTGCGGCGGAGGCGGTGGAGCCGCCCACAGGCGCACCCACTCGGCCGCCTCCTACATCTCGATGCGGTCCCAGGGCGGCAACTCGGAGGCGCCTCCAGAACGACCCAAAAGGAACCGCTTCTTCGAGTGGCTGCGGGTTGTGTGCAACGTCTGTTGCTGCAAGGTATTTTATTACAAACTCTGGTTTTATATCGGGTTCTCAAGTTTATTCATAGTTCGATTAAGGGATAACACATACTTAGGTTTCTTGCAATATACCAAATCTGAAACAACCAACTTGTTGTCTTTGAACAGAGTAATCGGTAATTTTATGTTAAGTTTCATTTTTTTCATTTGTAAGCATATGTCCCATAATCAGATTACTTCTTTCACAATCCAGATAAGGTCTAGCATAATTATCACAAAAAAGATACAACTAAACGAGTATTTAACAGATAAAACTTATCTTAGACCTTGTAACATTTAATTTGATTAATATTATAATGTTTATTAGAAGTATATTGCTAATATACTTTATAAAATATACTGTTTTCAAACAAAAAAATCTTTAATCAACCACAGTGAATTCCAAATTTTATATTTTAATAATTAAATCAAATAAAAAAGTTAACAACTATATTTAGATCGGTTACTTTGTAAATACATAGACTACAATTTGTAACTGTTAGGTAATAAATCATAGTTATAGTTATAAATAATAAATTATAATAATAATGGAGTACTCAGGGAAATATAAAAAAGTCGGATCGTTTCGATCATCAAGTAAGGTTTCTAGTCAATTGGCAGTGATAAATATTAATTTAATATAACTAATTAGATGTCGCCTATATCAACTAAGGTTTCTAGTTAATTAATTGTGGTAAATAATATCTCAATGGAACTCATTAGATGACGCTTTTAACCCATGTTTTTTTTGTTTTATAAGTGAATTAATTATAGAACCGAACAAAGAACTATATTAAAAAAATAATAATAAATTAATTAATATAAATATTACAATTTTGGTTCGTTACCCGCTTTTAAATGTAATAGCTCGTGCTGCCATTTTTAACTTTAAACGTTTTCCTCATATTAACGAAGCAAGTCCATTTGTGCATAATTGTCGTAAAACAGGGAAAATAGTTAGATTCGATATTAAAAGTTACCCAATTCGATATTTTATGATCGGAACGATTTGATTGGTTAAAAAATCCCTGAATTCGTACGGGTTTCGTTTATATTTATTGACGCGCGACAAAACAAATCAGTTGACAGCATTCCGAATCCAACGCCCGATGCCTCGGGTGACATTGGGGCAGTTAACGAGCTCAAACAATTTCGCATTTAGTACAATTTATATTTAGCAGACTCGGGACTCAAATGTTTGCAAATAAAGGCGGCCACCAATTGGCTGGGGCCTCAAAGGGTTAATACGGCATTGTCGTCGCCTTATCAACTGGCTGAGTTCATGACGATGACGTGTTCGGTTGGACTCACACCCTCCGTGCGCCAGTGCATCCTGCAATTATGCCAATTGGCAGCTAGCGGGCATGTCTCTTTACTTAGCCGATATCCATCTGTATCGTATTTATCTGTATCATTACAAATGAGCTCTCTAATTTATTCCACAGAGTTCCGGAATCGGGGAGCCGAGTGTTCATCATGCGCTGGTTGTGATATTTCTAGAGTTCTTCGCCTGGGGCCTGCTGACGATGCCCATAATATCGGTAATAATACAATTCGTTAAATAGTATTTTATATTTACTACTAATATTTTTTAAATCAACCCCACAGACCCTCAACCAGACGTTCCCGGATCACACATTCCTCATGAACGGTCTGGTCATGGGCATCAAGGGAATCCTGTCGTTCCTTTCGGCGCCTCTGATCGGCGCACTTTCGGACATCTGGGGCCGAAAGTTTTTCCTATTAGTCACAGTATTCTTCACCTGCCTGCCCATACCGCTGATGTCCATCAACACGTGGTGGTTCTTTGCCATGATCTCAATAAGCGGCGCCTTCGCCGTCACCTTCTCGGTGGTGTTTGCCTACGTGGCGGACGTCACCACGCCGGAGGAGCGGTCCAAGGCCTATGGCCTGGCCTCGGCCACCTTCGCCGCCAGTCTGGTCATCTCGCCGGCTCTGGGCAATGCCCTGATGGAGATGTACGGCGACACGCTGGTCGTGGCCCTCTCCACGGCCATCGCGCTGCTGGACGTCTTCTTCATCCTGGTTGCAGTGCCGGAGAGTCTATCGGAGAAGATGCGCCCCGCCTCCTGGGGGGCGCCCATCAGCTGGGAGCAGGCGGATCCTTTTCTGGTGAGGATTCTACGATCTGTGGTCTTGTTAGTTTCTTATCTAATACCTTTATCCCATTCCTAGGCCCTGCGCAAAGTGGGCACTGATAAGACCGTGCTGATGCTGTGCCTCACCGTGCTGCTATCCTATCTGCCCGAGTCCGGGGAGTACTCCTGCATGTTTGTCTACCTGAAGCTGAAGATGGGCTTCAACTCCGTGGAGGTGTCCATCTTTATAGCCATTGTTGGCATCCTCAGTATCACGATGCAAGTGACTCTCGGCTCCTTTATGAAGTGAGATTTGACTAGTTTATCCTTCTATATTAGTATCTAATGTGGATTTACTTTCTAGGGTGTTTGGGGCCAAGCGCACGATCATTATGGGCCTAGCCCTGGAAATCGTGCAGCTGCTGTGGTACGGTTTTGGCAGTCAAAAGTGGTGAGTGGATAGTCTCTTTTTACACATATGTATGCCTTAATTAATTTGAAATACCCTTTCTTAGGATGATGTGGTCAGCTGGCGTCGTGGCTGCCCTGGGCTCCATCACGTACCCCGCCATCAGCGCCTTCGTGTCCCTCTATGCGGCTTCCGAGAGTCAGGGTGAGTTGGAATCTCTCAACTACTTCCACCCAGATATCTTTACAAAATATTACTTCTTAGGCGCTGTTCAGGGCATGATCACGGGAATGCGCGGCCTGTGCAATGGCCTGGGACCAGCGGCGTTCGGGATCGTCTTCTACCTGTTCAACGTGGACCTGAACGACGAGCACGACTCTCATACGAAGAACACCGGCAGCCGGGCCACGAACGTGGAGAAGATCTCGCAGCATGTGCCGGGTCCGCCTTTCGTGTTTGGCGCCTTGTGCGTCTTCTGTGCCATAATAGTTTCGGCGTTCATTCCGGAGGGACAGAGCTCCAACTTGGAAAAGAAACGTAAGAGTGTAGAGTCGCCTTGACTTGCATCATTTCATTTCAATTCACTAACCCAAAAACCCATCGACTTACCATCCCAGCGCAAGATGCTGCAGTTGCGACCTAGTCATGAATAAAATCCACAGTGTAAACCCACTGATGATGACCTTTGTTCCGATCTTTCGCAGGTGCCTCGCTCGACGTGCAGTACGAGATTGAGACGGGCCACAAGGCGCCCAGCTCCCTGGCGCCGCTCATCCGCTCCGACTCCCTGGCGCAGCTGTAGTGCCCCAGCGCTCCATCGTCGTCCTATCCATACAACTTGAACCCAGCTGGTGGCTATAGATACCTATAAGCAGTGTTAGGGAGTTAAGGATTTTGTAACTGTAACAAATGCTGTAACTAGTTTGGCTTTAGTTTCCCGAGTCTATTAGGTGCATACATATATATATATCGCAGATCAGGCCGAGATGATGTTATTGTTTGCATGGTTAGATCTTCGTTTTTTACCATAGTTTCCGTTAAGTGCACCACACCACAGACCACCTCAGCCCAGGTATATTTCGTAACTAATTTATTATTGCCTAAGTAACGTAGTCACATATTGGATTGGCCCGTGTGCTTGCCCGCTTTCCAGTTTCCATTTCTATTACGATTTTATTTTTTGCGACTGTCGATTCTCTTCGGGTTGGGATTACATCACAGCAGACTGGTGTTAGAGCTAAAAATCTTTTGCAACAACAACAAAATAACTGCCAATTAAAAAAACAGAGTAAGTGTAATTCGTAATCTTCGGATGAAGACGCTTAAATTCAGCACAGCACAACACACATACAGTTCGGGATCCTGAATATCAATCGCATTTCCAAATGGGCTTGAAAAACTTTTCTGTTCACCCCAAAGTTCACACCGTTTAGTTACAACAATTATGAAGAGGAAATCCAAATAAACTGAATACTAAGCTTTACTTTGAAAATTGTAGTGATTTAAAGTTTAAACTTTAAAACAAGAATTAAAAATTATAATAAATCGGGTCACAAACTAGGGGTCTTCACAAGCTATATACAAGATAAATATGTATATATATATATATATATATAGAGATATATGTATGGGTACTGACACAAATCGTAATGCTTTTAATTTAGCTAAATGCCAAGTTAGCGCCTCCGATTATGTGCAACGCTGTATTTTTTATTTTGATAAAGCAACACAATGCAGAGCCTTTAACAAAGTCAATGCTTGAACGTACATATGGGGAGCATGTATGTATAGTACTATATACTATAGATATCAAAGTTATATTTTTCGAAGTTGCTTCAACCGTGTGTAAAGTTCCCCACTTGCTCCTACTCCTCCTCCCCCTCCCCCCAAAAAAAAAAAAATATTCATCCACCCCGTGTGAGCAGAGGTAAAGTCAATGGAGTAGTGTCCCCCAGAAAAAATTCGGGGGCCGCGAGAGACAGTATACAAGAAAACTGAACCCAAATTTTGATTGTAAATTATTTAACGTGTAATTTAGTGTTTTAAACGAAACCAAAATAAACAAAATTGTTTAATGAAACGCTAGTACAAAGAACTCTTGACTCTTTTGCAAAGCGAGGCAAGTATTTATTTTACTTGTTAAAGTAAAAGCTTCCCTTCGGCAATCTTGGGAAGTAATAAGGTGTTGGTCATCATCGTTGTCTGTTTGCATTGATGCGAACACACATGCAAATCAACAGATAAATAATAAGGCTAAGCTAATAAGCTGTCCCTTTTGGGAATACCTTTCAAGGGGGTATTTAAATTATTCTATACATTTAAAACTTATTTCTCACAACTTAGAACAATACAACCCCGCTGGGAACGTCCCGTGTCGAGAATAATACCGTGTTTTCCGATAAAGCTATGTATTTTAATATGTGAAGTAACCCCATAGAAAGTTACTTAGTCGAGTTCAGCTTTCCGGGTTGTAAGTTCTTTGCTCTAAAATGCGTCTGTTTTTGGCATTTTCCGGTGTAGTTCATTTTCTAATTACGCTAAAGAAATCAAAGGCGGAAATTCCCGACTGTGACTACTATGATACAGTGGATATATCACATATAACGAGGCAAAACGACTCATACAAATATGATGACCTCCTAATTCCTGCTAACCTAACTGGGGAATACGATTTCAAGCTGGTGAAGTGGCTTCCGAACCAACCGGTGAAGAATCATTTGAGAGGTTGTGTTTGCAATCTGAGGCCCTGCGTCCGGTTTTGTTGTCCCCGCAAAAATATGTTGACCAATGGCGAATGCAACGATGGCTTGAAGGAGGAGCTTTCCGTGGTCAATCCCTACATGTATGTGACGCTCGAGGACCATTCGGTAGAGAAGCGACACCTTCTCACCGACTTGACCGTGATAAGGGAACAGTTTTGGCCTTGCGATGAGATACTCAGAGTTAGGAATGATGAGTACATGATGTTCGAGGTTTGTCTTTCGTTTTGCCGCCTGTATTTTTCTCTAACTTGAACTGTTCAGAACGGATCTTTACTTTTCCTCGACGGCAACTATTTGTATTTTCAAGAGGATTACTGCTTCTATCGCCATCAGAATTATTCGGACTTTCCAAATTCCGTGTGGATTGTTTTTCACAATTGCACAGAGATCCCCTATCTGGCTTCCAGCGAAAGTAAGTAATTCCTAGCTAAATGGCTTTTCCCACCACATTTTATTCTATTTTAGTCACGGTGATATCGATGGTATGCTATATCTTGACAATCGCAGTGTATTTGTACGTAAAAAAGCTACGAAATGTTCTTGGCAAGTGCCTCATCTGTAGCCTTCTCAGCAGTTTTTTGGTGGACTTTACCATTCAACTAGATGAATTTATGTTATTAAAAGATGCTTGCTCTGCAACAGGTTAGTTGTTGGAAATCAATTCGAATTGGGTGTTAAGATTCCTGGACTTTTTCCACATTTTTTGCAGGTTACATTTATTACTTCTTCGATTTAGCTTTTAACCTCTGGTTCTCTGTCATCAGCTATCATCTTTGGAAGGTGTTTAGGTCGGTGAATCGTAATGAATCTCGGTATCGCTTTCTGACCCTTAGCGTTTTTGTCTGGGTAACTGCTGCTATTCCGACTGGAGCCATATTTTGTGTTAATCAAGTTTGGGAGCAGGATCCTCATAAATGGAATTGGATGCCCTTAGTTGGTTATAGTAAATGCTTGGTGAAGTGTATGTTTTAATTGCAGATATTTTGAAGTCGTACGGAGACGACTTAGAATCCATTTTCTCTCTCAGATACGACTACTGCTACAAACCTGCAGTATGGACTACTTCTTATCTTAGGTATCTTCAATGTGATCATGTTCATCCTGACGACCAGACACATTCTGAAAGTAAAGAGACAACTGAAGAAATTCTCTAACCGGCAGGAGGACACGGCGAATTGCCTTAGCTGGACTATGCCGGCGTAAGAGTAAAATATAAGAATTTATTGATAAGATATGATGATCCTTTTATATTTCCGTAACACTTATGTTTATAATCATGTAGGCTCGAGCATCATATCTTACCAATTTTTGTTTAATATGTTAACCAATTCCACAACCTAAACACAGTTACCTAGAGTATCTAAGACTCTTCGTCGTGATGGGCGTATCTTGGAGTTTTAATCTCATCTCGTATTTGGTGTGGCCCGACAAACTTTGGCAGGAAATTCTTTTGTTATTTGACTACTTTCATTACTCCTTTGGTATCGTGGTTTTTGTGCTGCTTATCTTAAAGCGTAGCACCCTTACTTTGCTCATGGAGAGGTAAGTCCTCTATGGTTGTACCAAATATTCCAGTAACCTTTTCTCTGTCCAAGCAGAATTCGGGAAACATGTAATAGACAGGTTGCTCAGAAGGCCAAGCAGTCGGATTAACTATTTAAAAGTAGTTATTAACGTAGTCCTAAGCTGGCAATAAAGTTAATTTCGTTGTTTTTAAAGGGATTTTCGAAAAATAAAAATCAAATTTGTTTCTTAATTTCGTTAAGGCATGATTTTTGCCATTTTTAATAGATTAGTGTTTCGAGGGATTACTGTATTTTAGTACAAATTTGGTTCGGGTCTCAGACTAACGGTTTTTTAAAATTAATCTTCCAGGGCAGTGTGTTTTGTGGTATATATTCAGTGTATTTAAATTGTTAATTCGGTATTTTTCGGACCATTTTCGTAAGCCACAAAGGCATATTCGCTCGCTACGCTTACGGTCACACTGGTCAGAACTCTTTGAAATGTGAAGTTTTTTCGATCGGATAAAATAGAAACAGAAAAGGTGAATTTCCCGGGCGGATCTAATCTGAATGGAGCGTGCGTTCGCGTGACTGAAGTTCGATTGGCCACGCCTACTTGCACGGGAAAAGGTGAAAAGCGCGTGGAAATCGAGTGAAAATCCCAACGAATGCCAGGTGTAACTGTGCAAAGAAAAAGAGACAAACAAAGAATGTTTCGAAAGGGCGGTGCAGTGCAGTGATACATACAAATAAAGCCATATACAAAATATATGTGTGTGTTCGTTCGGTTGAAAATGATGTGAAAAGATTTACACGGATTAATAAATTCCCATACTTCCCATGGACCCTACTTCGGTAAACTCCAATTAGGGCAAAAGGGCCATTGGAAGCTGGAAAAATTGGGAAAACCTCGCTGCGCCAGCGACCTGAATTCCGAGTTTTTTTTTCATGTTCAAAGTACTTTCCCATCGGTTTTGATTTATCTGTTCAAATTACTTGAAATTCGACTCGTATTTTACACAAACCCCTAGTTTTAACTCCAAACCAACCAATTGCTTTTTTAAGTTTACCAATTTACATTTCTTAACCTTCCAAATTGGTTGTTTTACAATAAACCGACGACTTTACCGAGGAATCCATCTATATCCCTTGCAGCGACTGGGGATACGAACCATCTGGAATTGTGACCGATCCTTCGATCCTACGATCCTTCGGCTAATTGGATTTGGACATCGCCATCGCCATCGCATCATCATCTTCCACGAACCCGAGTCCAAAAGCCAGCTTAATTGGCTTAGGCGGCGGTTGTCGATGTTGGTGAGTGTCCGACGGCTCATTTATTCTGTTTATTTCAATTTGGGTAAACACCCACCCGAGTTATTCAATTTGCGGTCTCGAATTAGTGAGTGTAGAGGCCCTTCCTGTCTTTAAATGTGGGGTGTATCATCGCATCGCCTAGAATTCCTACCTGGCAGTGTGCATAATTAATATGCGGCACTGCACTAATTGCTCTACGCCAGCAAAACGTTCAAAAAGAACACCCGCAGATATACACACACATACCATGCATCCCTGACCTGAGATACAGATGCGTGTGGTGGAAACGACACCCAGCCGAGTGAAATCCGTGTATTTATAGAGTGTGTTTTACAATTTCCCAGCCACACACTTCTCACAACTCGGAAGCGTACTCTGAAAAAGAGGAACACATTAGATTCTGCCTGAATAAGCACATTTGGGGGCCAATAATAATAATAACAGGAATGTTGAATATCATCAGTCCAATTAAAAATACAAGCATACAACACTTATATTAGTTTTGATATATTTTCAGTTCAGTATTCCGTTTAAATCGATAATGTAGATAGATTTTTGGATGTTAATAAACCAAGGCGTCACATGTTAATATAATAATATTAAAATTAAAGGTCAAATGATTGGCAACTTGTAGCGAGAGTAAAAATCTCAACGAAAAACAGCTTAGTATAATATTTTTATGATCTGGCCAATTAAGTTGATTCGATGCCTTCTACAATCAATAAACAAACCCACATAAAGATAAAGTCGATAAACAAGAAAATGTAATGATAACCTTCACTAACAGACAAATAATGGCTAATTTAGAGTTCAGAATCATTAATCAAATACTCTTAAGCAAATGGAAAACATATGACGTTAACCGGTCGAGTGAATCTGATGCCTGTCCTTAAAATCCGAAAACAAACCGAAAAAAAGACCCAAGATTACCCGAGGTTTGCAATATGATAAGCCTAGACACACAAGCAATTGGATAACCGGGCAAGAGATTGCCAACCTTCACATCAGATTCATTAGGCAAATAAGCTGACTCAACGTCAGAGAATCAAGATTATATAACACATCATTGGGCACGTATCTTCCATTTCTGTCAGTGTACATGGTTTCCGTTTCGTCATATAAGTAAGGCGAACTTCTTCTCGATCGTCCCCACCCTTTGTTTTTCAACGTTTCTGTTCATTTCCGCCCCTTTTCTCCATCTGCATTACCCGGCTTCCTTTGTTTGGAATCGTTCAGTTTTCATCTAAAGAAGTTTACTTTGTATCTGCCTGTGTGATTAGCCCATTTTTCTGCGGTTTTATATCGGGGAGTGAGTCACAAGAAACGAGTTTCTGGCTTTGGCACGACTTCGCTTCACCGGCAGGGCAAGCAACCTGTTCTCTTGCGATATCTTTCGCCTCGAACCGCCGTCCATGGACTTCTCCGCCAGCTGTTCCAAATTCGATGTAGATGTCACTTGGCGGAGGCGGTCCGAAGTGAAATGGGAAGATGAGAAGTGTGTGCTCTCAATTCAATCAGTTGAAAAATTAGTTGCAGTTTACTTGGGAAAAAGTTTTCGTTCACAATCTGATTTATTACTCATCATATTTTAAAAATAATTTTGTGTTCCTTTTTCGTTAGCCAGCTTTTCTTAAAAAATTAAAATTTTCTTTAAATTGTTGACCTCATTCATTCAGTTAAGCTTATCTAATATTATGGATTTCCTTACAAAATAGATTAATCCAACTTATTTGATAAAAAACTTATGTGTTAGTAACAGTTATTCAGTGAAACAAATGGTTATGATGTTGTTATTAACACATTTAATAGAATTCTACAAAATAAATGGTAAAGAAATCATACACCCAAGTGTTTATAACTCAATAAGTCAGTAAAGGTCATTTACCATCATTAAAGTTATGCTGATCTTATTTTTCTTTCATGTGAATTCTTATAAATTAATCTTCCATCCGGCACTTTTGCCTTAGGACTGGCATTGATTGTGACTCGTTATAGATGGGGGAAAATTGTTTTTATTAATTCAACCTTCACTTTGTATTTAATTCTTTTGTTTATACAAGATATAAGCAACCGACGCTTACCGTAATTAAGTTTATCGTGTTCGGATTCAGCTTTTTGCTGATTTAGCCGCCAGCAGATTGTTAAGTACCTTGCACTTGGCGTTTCCGCAGATACAGTGGTCACTCGTTCTACTGCTCCGCACCGATGACCCAGTACTGGTATCGCCAAATAAGTTTATTTAACTTTGTTAACTTTCTCTTGTTGGCGCAGAAAAAAAACCAGTTGGATTCAATCAGCTGGGGTGGAACCGGCGGAACCCATTCAATTTCAAGAAATGGATTGTTGCCTTTGTTATAAGCTTTGACTCACATTACCTAAAAGGGAAAATTTATTACGATACCAGACACTCACTGGCGACAATGGGCATATTGTATTCGCCGCAGCTCGTTAAGGCATCTGAATAATATAGTTTATTTTGATTCATTCTATGACAATGTTTGTTCTGCTAATTAACATATTCTGAAACTAACTCTACTGAAATTGTGCACCTTTTATTAACCTAATTTAATTGTTATTGGTAAATAGACAGTGGAGATGATTCTCCTTGCAAATAAATTACAGACCTTAAAGATAAAAAATATTTAGTTATTTTTACGACGTTGTGTGTTTGCAAATTAACAGATTGGAAACCACACATTCCTGGAATTGTGTATATATTACTACCTGATTATTATTATTACTTTGCTTTTGCGTTTTAGCCATTTTCGTGAATAAAAAAAATAAATTGTATGCACATAATGGCCGAAATTCTTAAATTTTGAATTGATTTATTTGTTTACCTTCTACGTGCCATGATTTTGGAAAGTTTTGAATTTTTCATTTAATGATTTCTGGAAAATTTACAAAATATTTATGTATGCAATTGGCAGTGGGGGAAAATTAAAGAACATTTTACTACTGCTGTTTCCAAAGAATCATTAAAAATTGATTGGTTGTCGGAATATAAATATTTTAACAGATTCACATATGTGGATCATAAAATTAGAGGTATTGATTGTGGGAACCCAACCTTTAAGTTTCATTTAATATAAATTAAGTGCCCAATTTTTGTGAAGTTTTTGCACTGTGTAATTCTGAACTCGAACCGGAATTAAGGACATTTTGCGTGTGGCCTTGCCAAGCGTTTGCCTGTCCCGCCCACTGTTCGAGGGAGTGCAGCATCCTTGCAGCCTCCGACTGCGCATGTCCCTGTTTTTCCTGCTGTCCTCCCGAAACGCCGAGGCTGCAGATTGTTTTGTTTTCTCAAATTGCTAAGGAGAAGCGACCTCTGAATATGCCTCTGTTTCAGGCCGAATTTGCGATTGTGGTGCGTTCCTGTCCAAGTCGGATTTTGGTAGGGGAAAAGAGAAAAACTCTGGACAAGAGAAGCCCCCAGTCCGCAGCCAGCAGCTTGGCGCGTGTCAAGGCCGTTCAAAGGCTGCTCCTCCAAGAGTGTAGAGAATTTGCTGCACAGCAGCAGCCTCGGAGCATCAGCAAATGGAGCATTTTTTTTCCAGCGCCTTTAGTTTGCTCCCAGCTAGACAACGCTGCGTATACGCAATCGACACCAAACACTCGTCCGCTGTTTGTTTGGCCAGCCATTAAGGCCCTGTCAGCAGGTGCGCTCCTCAATCCGCAGCAAAGGTCTATTTTTACACAGCCATCAACACGCCTGGTAATCCAGCTCTTTCCGGAAAGTAAGCATGGAAAAAAGAGGGCCAACCTCGAGATAAGCAGGCGGCAATGCAGTGCTCCCAATGTGTTTAAATATATATAGTGTTGCGACACATTCTGTGGTGCTCTGGGGGCAGCAGAGGGGTCGAGGGGCCGAGGGGCCGGGGCTAGGCTATAAAGCATAATGCCACCGAGTCGAGGGGCAGACCCTTGGCCGCGCGACTCAGTTGGCCCTTCCCTTGTCCAGTCGCCCACAAAGTTCATTAAACTTTTCGATTTCTTTGTCTATGTCTGTTGTGCAAAGACAGTTGCTTGTTGCTCGCCTCGATGGCTATAAATTTACAGTTGCCAGTGGCGGGTACAAAACGAGCATACTCATTCCTTCGATCTCGGTAGAAATATATGTATGATCAAAGACTGCTGTGAGTAGGCAGAGTATTCTGAAAACCCACTCATCGTCAGCAAAGTATCTACAAAAAACGCAGGAAAATGTCGGCAAATACAAAAATGTTGCAAAGTTATTATCTCTATCAACGCAAATTATATAGCAAGCAAAATGGTGCCCTTGATGAAATTACTTAAATTTAATGCAGATTTAAATTCATGTTTCTTGTGTGTAAAAAGACGAATAATAATTTGATTTTCTCACGATATTATGACTTGTTTCTATGGCAATGATCCGAATTAAATGGAAAACAACCAAATAATTGCTTAAAAATATGTTTTCGGTTTAGATTTTGAGATAACAAAAAACGTTTTTGTATTAAGAATACTAAAGATTAATTTATTCGATTAATAATAAAAGATTAAATTGATAATAAATATTGTGTAAAAACCAATTCCTGACATTTTTAAAGGCATAAAGAATAAGAAGAAAACAAAAATAATTGATATATAATAGCTGTCAATAAATGGCAATAAATATTGATTTATTTGAGTAGTTGATTAATTGTTTACACATTTTTTTCAATTGATTCACTGAATATAATGCTACCTGCCTAGGGATACATACGAATAGATTGCGAAATTCCTTATCAGATAATATTTAGCAAACACGACCTGTTTGCAAAGGCACATCATATCGCACAGATGCATATGTATAACATATAGCTATATTTGTTTATGCGATTGGCTCTGTCCCAAAAGAACCTTTCGCAGAAGTTAGCTTTTTGCCAGCAACGTGTTCATGCCTCGATGGCGCAGTTGGCAGCGCGTAAGTCTCATAATCTTAAGGTCGTGAGTTCGAGCCTCACTCGGGGCATGTACATTTTTTATTGTTTTTTTATTTTTACAATATGTTTTTTTTCTCGTCATTTGCATTCGCTTTGGCTATTTTGAATATTCCTTTAAGCTAGTTATTTGATATTTGGGTAATTACGCAAGGGCGCCACACGCACGCAATGTTTTGCGGCATGGCTGGTGGGTGACTCATTCTCATGATCCCCGGACAAGTGCATTCAACCGACGCCAAAGGGACTTTCACCTCCTTCACGGGGAGATAACACCTGCCAACTGTGGGCAATGTGCCAAAGTCGGGGCTCAATCCTTTGTATCGCCAGTAGATTGCATTCTCGGGCAGCTACTGCCTAGTGCCTCAGCCCATTGTCATCTCCTCGGCTTTTATTGACCTTAATTGATGTCAAGTGGATGTAAGAATGGCTCTGGGTGTGTGTTTGTGTCCGCATTGCGATGTGGAACCAATCCTATTCGAAGCCCGGGATGATGGGATTATGCCCCATTTGCCTGGACACACCAAGAAGCGGATATATTTTATTGCCCCGGCCACGCATTTATTATTGGACGAGGACATGCCACTGCCACATTAGGGTGTGAGCTCTGCTCTGTCCTCGAATGCTTTTAAATCATTCAACTCCATTTGAAAAATGGGCGAGAGTTAAGATTAAAGATTAATTTGATAGGTGTTTGTTGAAGAGATACGCTTTTAAGACAACATGTTTTTGCATTTTCATGTGGGTTTCATTAAAAAATGCTCTTTTATAAAGTATTCCTAGACATTTTATAGACTCCATTTTTACAAAGACCACCCATATTAAAATGTATCTTTCTATTTCATTTGTTTTTAGGCCTCTGACGTGTGAAATGGGTGTGGGCTACTACACCGAAGGACACAAGATCAAAAGCAGCAGCTCAGCACTTTAGTGAGTTTGAGGAATCTTCCCCGAGACTTCCAAATAGCAAACGGCAATGAGTCCAGTGGTGGCCACAGTGGAGCCTCTGGCCGCGGTCAAGTCGAAGTCAATAAAGTCCCGGAAGCGACGACAGCGCCGGAGACGGCAGATAGCCTACCTGGCCATTTGTGGACTAAGTGTAGCCATCTTCGGATTTGCATTGGCCACGATAATCAGGCCGGCAACCGCCCAGGATGATGAAACTGCTCCAGGCGGTTGGCGCAAAGGATATGTGGGCCATGGCACCACGCACGAACAGATGGGCCAGCCCCATTGGCCACCAGTGGAGTACACGGTTTACAAGCCGACGACCAACTACACGAAGGAACCACCACCTCCCACGTCGGCCATGAACTCCATTTTTAATTTTACACACTTTCTGTACGACAAAGTCCTGTACAGTGATGATCCCATTCCGGAGGGTAAGTTAATCGTGGATTAGATCAAGAATAGAATCGATTATAATCGATTTCTACAGGTTACATTGTGGTAAAGAACTCGGACACATTGGCCCTGGGTCCCAAGGTGGAGGAGAACGACTGGCGGGATCTCTTGGCTCATTATTGGATGGTTCTCATTTGGGTTTTCATTCTCGTCGTGCTGATCATTATCATTCCGTTTATTGCGTGAGTGTAAAAATCGAATAAATACGTTACCATGATAAAAACCTATCTAATTTTTACCCGCAGCGTTTGCTATTGCTGCTTCTGTTGTTGCCGACGATGCCGACAGGGCTGTCCTCCATGTACCAGTAAACAGGATGCCCAGCGGCGCTTCTGCTGTGGCATTTGTCTGCTAATCCTCATCATTGGACTGATGTAAGCGAAGGCAGCTAGAAATCCCGTCCCCGTTCAAATTCTAAACCGACCTTCTTGTTTCCTGCAGCTTTGGCATCATAATCGCATTTGTTACCAACAAAATGATCGACAGTGGCTTTTCCGAGACTTCCGAGACTATGAAGCGCGGCAGCGAGGACACTTGCACCTATCTGAAGGATGTGGCCGATCATGTTTATCATCTGATGATGTACAACTACGAGGAGATGGAGACACATGTGCTGGATCAACTAACCCGTAAGAATAACAACACGTTTTAAACCAGGGACTTTTAATTTAAAATGCTCTGGCCTTTTTAGATGCCCATAGGCACATATTTTTGGATCTCTCCGACACATCAGAGAGTAGTTCGCTGGCCGAAATGGAGCGGGTTTTGGAGAACATGCCAGAGGCCCTGGAGCTGATGAAGCAAGTGGAGAAGATGGAGAAGGATCTGCGATTCTACGGTTCCCAGTTAAGAGATGGTGAGGAGATGACATGTGATCAAACAGATCACATTACTAATCCGGTTTTTTAATTTCAGGTGTCCGTGGCATCAAGCGAGATGTCAACTTCGCAGTGGCCAATCTCTGTCAACTCCAAATGTGCCAGAAGTTCCTCATCAGCAGCAACATCGAGCACATTGATACCTCGCAGTGTCTGCACTTCGACACGGTATGATCGAAATGCAATGTGGGCGAATATAAATAACGAATTCAATCAAATTTCAGCTGCCTAACACCACGGCTTATGTGGAGGGAATGGAGGACATAATTGCGAAGAAATATTACATTATACCTCAAAGGGGACTGTTGCGTCTGAAGGCGGTTAGCGACAAGGTGCAGTCACAGCTGTCATTTGTGCTGCCGCCGATGATGCGGGACTTGACCAAGGGCAAGACGGTCTTCCGCGAACAGGCGACGAATGTGCGCAACATTGTGGAGGGAGTGCTGGCTAATATTCACACTAAGACCCTGCATTCGACCAAGTCGTTCGAGGACGTCTACGATCGGTTCGGCCACGATAGGAACATAATCAGCTTGATTGTGTGCTTGCTTATCCTTTTGGTAAGGGTGCTGCCGCAGGTTTCAATTTTAAAGTTCATTAACTAACCCATTTGTATTAAATTTAGGTACTGTTTATATTGATCTTTGCACTGCTGTGTGGTTGCTTTGGACGACGACGAACTGGATACGGAGACGAATGCTGCAGCAAGTCCACCGGCGCCACGTGCCTGCTTTTGTAAGTAGACGCAAGTTCTACCCCGACTGATTAATCATTTGAACCATTTACAACTTTCAGAGCGATCTTGTTGATTTTCTGTGTATTCTCATTTATCGCGCTCGTTGGACTATTCTACTTTATGCTGGGCATGGTTACTTACCAGGGCGCCTGTGCGCCGCTGAGGGATCAGGAGAACAACACCCTGTTCCGGCAACTGGACGCGTCAATCGATCTAAAGCATTATTTGCCGTCGAACGGGGACTCCAAGGATGTGTCGCAGCCTCTGAAGATGTCGAATACAATTCAGGCTTGCCATGAGAACCAGACAATATTCGAGATGATGCGCATGAACAATATATACGATATCAACGACCTGGCGCGCATCAAGGTAATGACAGTGGACGATACGGACTCGGTCAAGGTCTTCGACGAGGATCTGTCTGGCGTTATCCTGTTGACGCCAGAGGAGCGCGGTGACCTGACGACCGCGCAGGCCAATTCGCTGGCCACGTACCACAGCTCCTTGTACATGCCGAGTCTCTGCACCCAGTTCACGCCCATGAACCTGAACGCCCTCTCCGAGCAGCTGTACAAGCTATCCAACGATCTGGAGTACCCCGCCTACGGCTGGGCCAAGGTCTCTTTCTGGAACGAGGGTCTGAACACCAAGGCCTTCCACCGCAACTTTGTGCCCAAACTCACCAGCATTGTGGAGAAGATGAGGGCCAATCTGCAGAAGATCGACGAGCTGATTTCGTACGAGAACCACGACTTTACCACCACCATCAAAATTCTCACTGCCACGGCGAACAGATCGGAGCAGTTCATCCAGACGCGCGGCAAGGACTACATCAACACGCTGAGCAGCAATCTGACGCAGACCATTGACCAGATAATAGACGACTACATCGATATGATTATAAGGGAGGCCAACGAAAATGTGGGACACTGTGCGCCACTATCGTATATATATTACCGCGGAGTTGACTTGATCTGTCACCGCCTCGTGGATCCCATCGTAAGTCGTAGATAAAAAGGGGAAACCAGTTTAGAAAGTGTTGGATTACCACCATCTAAAGTGGATTTTCCGCTTGAAAAGTTCGCTGTATTAAACCAAACTCTATTCCGATCGCAGAATGGATTCTGGGTGGGCATCCTGCTCTGCGCCCTGCTCTTCCTGCCCATCCTGTTCGTGGCCCACCGCCTGATGTGCCTGTACAAGAAGATCTACCCCTATCTGGCCACCGTTGGAGCCGGCGGCGTGGTCGAGGGCGGGTGAGTTGACTCTTCTATTCCGATCCTCCTTCAGGCATCCCCGCTAAACCGCCCTAACCCAAAGCTGTCCCATTTGCACGGGTGCTCCGTATGTGCCACCGCCCATAGTTAGCTGCTCCGGTGGGCAGCAGGCCTATTGCGGCTGTCCCGCCGGCGCACCCACTCGCGGCGGTGGTGGTGGCCTGCCCCCCGAAGATGCAATCCAAGCGGCTGAGGCAGATCCTGAGGCGACCTACCAGGTTGCCGATCCCGTTCTGTCTGCCAGCAAACGCAAGAGAGACTAACACCTTGGTTTGGCATCAATTTAACTTCATTAACTTTTAGCATTTGTTTTATAAATTGAAGCATGTACGAAAAAAATTATGTGTTTGCACCACAACTAAGTCGTCCACATTCTTCTCATTTCACCGCTAACCCCGCCTCATCCCACCAGCAGCAGCGATTATCTGTACGACGCTTATAGTGAGCGCGAGCGCGAACATGTGCCATTGGCTAAGTAAGAGATCATCCAGTCACCGTTGACCTTTGTTTGGCTAGAAGCTCAGCTAATCCCATGTCCTTTGCCTCTGCCTCTTCCCTCGCAGCGTTCCCAAGAAGCGGCGCAAGGCCTACGAAAGGCGGCGGGAGCAGCAGGACTACTACGAGGACGCCTCGCCCAGCGTGTCCCGCGGCAATCGCTCCGGCGCAGATCGTGGTGGTGGCGGCGGCGGAGATGGAGCCCCGGGCAGCAGCAACATGCGCTACAATGACATGGCGCCCACGTAAGTGTCCTCCAACTCCCAGCTTATCCAGGCCTTAAATCACTTGCTAAAAGACTGCCATAACTGAAAAGAACAACAAAAGAACGGAAATTGTTATCCTGAAAAAATGGGAAATAAAAATCAAAATCCAAAGTGGAGTCAAATATTTAACTAAGATAAAGAATTCATGAAATCTTTTATTATTAAATCATTTTTGAGTTACCACAGTCTTGCAGCAAGTGTACAATATACTCTTACAATAGTAAATGCATCATAGCCGCATAACACTGACAATTAATTCGCCTGACCGCATCGATATCCAGTTTCCCTTGATCGTTTAGACCGCTGCTAAATGGCTAAAACGCTAATTTTTAATTTTGTTTAATTTAGCGCTAGAGGTGTGACCAATGGCACTCGGCCAAAGGCATTGACGGCAGATGGTTTCTTTTAGGCATGGCCCAAATGCTAATCGGTTTTGGTTTCTGCTCGGTAATGTGCCACTCAAAGATTCAATCGGTGTGATTCCCCGACTGCCTCGATTCGAATACATTTCCGACTTTTTGTGAATAGACTGGCGACCCCTATACATTTGCTTAGTTCTCTTTACTTTATTTATTTGGCTTCAAGTATAAAACAAACCTACATAACTATATTACTTACAAATTCGTATAGCTTTTTAAAACACTTTCATTTTACAAAACTTTTAATTTTGATTACTGAAAGCTTCAGGTGTGTTTATGTGCATTGCATTTGTGTTGCATATTGGAGAAGCTTTCGTGTTTGGGTTGCTGCTCCACAGTTACAGACACTTCTGGACACGATCTCATACCAGCCAAGCTCAACGCTCATTGCTCAAAGCTTATCCTTCCATTTGATTCCATCGATGGCCCCTCTCCGATAACTGCTCGCTTTTTCATGACCAAACGCCACTAACTCTATATCGGATTTCGATCTATGTTGACCAACTAATCTGATTAATCGCAGCTACTGCGCCCTCCTGTGTTTCTGTGTTGTGCGTGAGTGGTCGCACTATAAATATTTAATGTCCCCTGCATATTTCCGATGGACTAATTCGATTTAATTGCAATCCACAGGCACTGGGACCACGAGCCACCGCGCTACCACAATCCGCCAGCTGCGCCGCCATCCTCGGAGTACGAGCGTCCGCCGCCCTACTACTATCCGGGTGCCTCCGAGCAGGACTAGACGGACGGAGTGGCTCGGAATGGTTCGTTCGATAGGTGGCAACATGGATGATTTTATTTTCAACCCCACGCCCACTGCCCCCGTTTCCCCGTATATACCCCTACTGAGACTGTACTTTTAGTTAAAAGCGTAAACAAAAATAACTGAAATTATATAATTTAATTAAGTAGTTTTGTAGCATCACATGTGTTATCCCTTTGGCCCGACCAGGAGATCTGCCATTGACCTGGAAGCCGGAGACGAACGCATAGTTAATAATTAATTAAGTGCGGGCCGAAGCAAGAAAGCGAATACGAAAACCCTCAAATACCCCTTTACAATTACTTTGAAAATGTTGCCAAAAGACGAGCACGATGAATCGGACGAGTCCGGCGGGGATCGTCCCAGTCGGAGCATTTATTGAACTCTGGAGTCTGGAGACTCCGGGCTAGAGGGCCGGGCGGCAGGCGTCGGATCTGATGAGTCCCTTGAAGAAGTTGGCCATTCGCCGGGCCGCACGGCCGCAGAAGCTTTAAGGAATCTCATAATTTTATTATGCACACACTCAGAGCAGGCGAGACGTACCCAAAAACAAAACAAATCAATATCTAGCAAGCAACTAAATAAATAATAACCGATCAAACACTTTATGGAATCTGTAAACTTCCAGGAAATCAAAATCGCGGAAAACAAAATATGATCAATACCAAAACTGCCATTTTAATTTAGAAAAGAGCAGGACACAGGAGAGTTGGGAGTTATTCAATGCATTTAATGTATTTATTTTAGAAACAATACGAACACTACACACTTCCTTAAAACCGACAACTTGCGCACTCGGACACGGATATACCAATTTAATATAAACCCCAGATCAGATACAGATACAGATACTTGATTGTAACACGTATTTTAACACGTTGTCATAGTTTAGTAAGTGAAAACCAAAAGCAAAACCAACCCTAAAGCATTTAAACGTTTCCAATTGTATTGTCTAGGACCTAAAGGCAAAGCTGTAAGTTTCCAAAATACCTATAACACCATACACAAATATACAGACACGCGAGCATATTGTACGGATTACACAATTACATAATTTTAGTATTATTATACAAGTAAGAATGTATGTTGTATTTTATATTTGACGTACATCAAATGATTTCCGCTTAAGTCAAGTAACCATGTATCAATATTGCCGAGCGCAAGTAAAGATTATCGAATAAGACCCTGGAAAACACAAAAACCCAGTTGCCAGTCAATCATCGAGCTCCGTTGATGGTTGTCTCTGTCGTTTGCAAATTTTTGTCAATAAACTTCAAGTGGTTTTATGTACGAATAAGCGAGTCAGATCATTACTTTCGGAATGAAAAAGCGGTAAGTATTGATTCCCCTTGGTTAAATTCCAGGATCAACAACCTGTGGCCTCGGATTCCAAAGATGCGCGCCAGATTTTTAATTTTTTTTTGCTAAAAAAAGTGTTGCATACTTTTGGGCAGCTGATCGATGCGCTAATTGAAATATTTTATTGCAAGCTTTTGGGGGCTGCTAGTTTTTTGTTTTGCGCAGCTACCTACTGCCATTTATGTTCGCCTGGTACTTCAAATCGAGAAATCTCGCAATTTGGCCGACAAAATTTTTATTTAAAACAACCGTTAACTAGGGTCGAGCACACAGGGGCGTAGTCAGCTGAGGCAGGGGTTTCGGAGGTCAAACGACCCCAAATAGCGAATTAAGCCCCTCCTGGCCAAATTTTGCCTACGCCCCTGCTAAACCCAAAAAATGAGTAAGTTGCCTGCTATTGCTTATGTTGGCCTGGTGTTGCTAATCGAAAAATCCGTCAAAATGGACCGACCAAACCCAATATTTCCGAAGCAAATTGTGCAATTTCTGATTTTGAAGTACCAGGCGAACAGAAAAGTTGGGAAGTGGTTATTCATAAATTTTTTGGCAGCGCACAGTTGCTCCCAAACTGCGGTTTGCTACAGTTACGGACAGTGCTTCTCAAACTGTGGCTGATCGCCTGCCCAAAAGTAGGCAATACACAAATGTAATCTGCAGCGCAAAAGTATGCTACAAAATTTTTTTATTTTAGCTAAAAAACAAAACGTTGCGTTCTTATACCTGCTGTATTACCCACAAAATAAAACAAATCAAACTTGCAGTCATGTTTATTTTATTGAATTAGCAAAAAATATAAAAACATACGCCAATTTGATGGGACGCAGAAAGCTGTTTTTATGCCGGAACATCCTTGAGCCTTGTTTTTGAGTGATCTCGTTGGAAGTTTAACATAAAAGAATATAAAGAAAGGATTGGTTTATATATTTAAAATTAAAATAAGTTGCAATAAATCTAAATCTAACGTAAGCGGCTTTGCTCTATTTACCAAATACGTGGAGGAACTTTTGGATAATGGCAACGGCTGATAAATAAGATGAAGGAACTGGATCGGCTCTAATCAGGGGGATGTGGCAACTTTTCCAATTAAATTCAATCTATGATCAGCAGGCTAATGTTCTGATGCCAAAAAGATAAGGTGGCACGTATTTTCGGTAAATATGTGGAAAGATGTAAAGCCCTCGCTCGCCAGCAGGATCTGGCCATGGCGAAGTACACCGACCTCTGCCATAATGTTAACCAATGGTAAATCGAGGGGAATTCCCCAGATTCAATGTTTTTGAAGTGATTATGCGAATCTTTGTTAACCATTCACTTATAATTACCCAAACAATCAAATTAGTTTTACCCCGAAAAAGTGTTTAGTTGTGATTGATGCAATCGTTATTTGCCTAAGACTTAAGTTTGTTTTTTATTAAATGGCTATGTAACATTTGTGGGTCTGAATTATGTTTGTTAATTTACATCTGTTCCTAGCATTAAAAGTCAGTATTTTTATAATTTTTCTAGACACACACTTCCTACAACAACCGAATGGAGTAAAAAGAATAAAAATAAATAATGAAATTGCTGTGCTGGGAGTCGCTTGGTATGTTTATGGGTAACATCTTGACCAACTCGTTGACCTGGTCAGGACCCCCGACAACCCTAAGTGTATTTAATCATAGCCAAGAGCAAATGGTGGAGGGTTCTATTGGCTGCTGCTCCTTAGACTGGCTACTGCAGCTCCAGCAATCCTCGTGTCCTCTGGTGAGGCTCTTGATACTTGGATTGGTGGTATTGCCGGCTTATAATGCGATTTTAATCCTGGTGGGGTAAGTTGTTCTCCTAAGACTTCGAAAGTTTGTATTAAATGAATCCCCTTTAGATGGCGCCTTAATTCCAGTGCTTCGAGCAGTGCGGAGCGTTTGGTGCTGGACATTCGAGTGGATAGGGCCGCGAAGCGTCCAGCTCCACCACCGCCTCCAGCTCCAAAGCCACCGCCCCGCCTACGCCGCCTTAAGGCGCCCAAGACCCCAGGTCCACCAGAGTCCTGTCCCAGCCAAAAGAGTCCTTCTGACTCCACCTTTCAGCGTTCTGATCAGGGGGATCTCTACAAAAACCTGAGGAAGAATCTTCAACTGGCGCTGGCGGGCTTGCAGAAGCCTCTCCCCTCTCCCCCATCACCACCCATATTTATTCCTCCTGTGGAAGAAACCCTATCCCACTCGGAACCCCAAACCCCGCCTGAATCCCCTGCCACTGAACGTCGAAAGTCACGTTCCAAGCTTCTGCAAGGGATCTTCAAACGACTTGGTATGAACTCCATTTGGAAGAGATGGAAAGCTCGAAGCAGCCGTAAAAAAACCACAACTTCAGAGGCCAGCACTTCCTCTTCCAGCTGCTCGAGCACGGGTTCCAGCTGCTTCTACGTCTACTAAAACGAAATCTGGCCAAGATCGAGGGCACGGCTGGCTCATCTATCAAGATATCAGCGCTCCACTCCGTGTGAATCTGTGCGATTATATTTTGTTACGATTAAAAGCGTGCTAAGATCAACCTTGTTCGCCGACCCGGCCCATGGAGGCCTTGAATGCGCTCTGGCTTTATTAGAACACATCCGGCAGTGGAGCTCCAAAGCGGCCGCCGCCGACAAAAGACCTAAGCGACAAACCTTGTTCTCGCATCAATCTTGTGGAGGCAACCGAAAACGGAAAAAAAACATATATAAACACCGAAACAAAAGTAAAACAAACAAAAGGCAAATAAGCCCAACTACAAACTACCGGGTGAGCTTGCTCGTTCGCGATGACTGGCTGATTAAGGGGCAGCGAAAGCAGATTGTTATCGTCACTCCCCTTGAGTTTCAGCCCAGCTTTAGCTCTCCTTCAACATCCACCATCCAACATCCAAGTATCCAAGTGCAGCTCCATCATTGTCTGGGGCACAATGGCAGGAAGAAAAGCCAAAGAGCACGGGAAAAAACAAGGTGCTATTTGGAGCACTGAACACCCGATGCTCTGCACACTTCAGAAATCAGAAGGTTATCATTGGGTTGCGTTGGGTTGGGCATTCGGGTGAATCGAATACCCAAATGGATTACGATTTTATAGATATTTCGGGAACACCTATTTCAGGCAGAATAAATGGTGAACTTCTCAGAAGTCTTGAGAGATTTAAGTCTAGATTTAGGGGTACAAAAATGTTGTACAACTTATTTGGACAATTAGCTATTAATATTTATAATTCCATGCGACATTCCTTTTTGTATAGGTAATCCATCAATAGATTAGGATTATAAATAGCTTCAAATTGTATCTCTTGCTTACGAATCGCTTTGAACTCACCTTGAACTCAAAGAAAATACAAAGAAAACATAAGAATTTAAAACTTAATGAAAAAACGTTTTATAAGTGAACCAAACGAAATCAATAAATTTCCGTGTTCTTAATTGTTACGCTTTATATTTTGATCTTATTTTGGAATTATGCCTTTTTAATGTGATTTCTTTATAATTCGTACTTTTATATTTATACTTGACGTCAAACCAAATATTTCATTAAATTCACCGAAAAATCTAAAGATCATAAATGAAGGCAAGTCCTTTTAAAATGTAAATATATTTTTGGCGAAAGTGATAAATTGTAATACAAAATTTTCCCTTTGCAATAAATATAATAAAATCTTATCTCAATGCTAAACAAAAGTAAAAAGCTGTGCAACAATGCTGTGAGGACTGAAATAACCTGCCTTTGGAAAGGGCAGATCACACACGAAAATTACAACGCAAAACGAGCGGACAACTCCCAGACGAGTTTTTGTTCTTCCGCTGCCGATTGAGATGACCAGGGCACTGCGATGGTGCGATTCCAGTCGATCTGATGGCCACTGCGGGGAACAAAACGAGACAAGGCCCCCCAGGCAAGGCCATTGAAAAGTGAAAAGCCGCTTGTTGGCGGCGTATGTTTTTCATAATTTGTAGCTTAAAATTAAATCACGTTTCTTATCAGCGATGTGATGCGATTGTGAGTGCCTTTCTTTTTCAACAATTACCAAAATCATAAAGGCAGCCAACGAAATTACCTACAACGAAATTTCACTTTCAGTTCGAACGACTTTGTGAGTGTGTGTGTGTGTGTACGAAAACAAAAGACTTAAGGCACGAACCTGCCGCAGTGAAGGTTAAGTCGTTCGATTTGATATTCAATCGGTATAACGATTTCGAAAGCCGTGCCAATGCACTCGTCGATAAGGTCCCACCTGCACCGCATAGATAATGGGTAACCGCCATTCGAATAGATTCCTTCTTCCTGGCTTTCTGCGTTTGGCGTTCAGCATTCGGCTTTCGGTTTTATTTTGTGCATCCGATGTGAAACTTGGCCCGCTTGCGAAACAGAGCATCGCATGGAAGAGTTTTCTTGGGGAAAACTGGCACACAGAATTGCAAAAAGCAAAAGCTGCAGCAGCGAACATCAAATGGCAAATGGCACGCAATGGAATGGGCATTAAAATGCACGCAATTAAGTTGGCCAAATGATTTACAGTGAAAGGCGGTGAAATTTATGGCATGCAAAGCGTGAGAAGACTTTTTTTGGGGGGAGTTAAGATCCCAGGAACCGAAAGGCCAGAACTTCAATCAAGAAACCATTCCGAGTTAATACAGACTTTCGTTTTCGTTTGGGGCGCAATTTGCTGATTGGCGGAGGGTGTGGCCAGGTCAGCAATTGGAAACGCTTACGAAACCCCTTCACAGAAACCCATATGCTAATTAACCTCGGCTGCCTCCTGCTTTCTATCGTGTGAAACGTCAGCCAAGTGTTATGCGCTGCGTATTTTGTAAATCATATTTCGAATTTGCATTTAACGCAGTCGCAGATGGAGATGAAAATAGAGATGGAAATGGAGATGGGGATGGGGATGGGGATCAGTCGCAGACATTTGGCTGACGTCTCTTGGCCGTTTGTCTTTATGCTAATCAAACATGTTTGTTTACCAAATCCGAATCCGAATCCGATAACAAATGGTGGCTGCCTAACGCCTCCAGTGGGTGGGTGGGGGAGTTACCTAGTTTCACCCGGCTTAGTTATCGAATCAACAGGGTTAACCTACAAAAAATTGTCTATGCTTGCCTCATAAATATACCAAATAAACATCGACTTAAAAGTGGGTTAATTCTCTAATAATCCTTATTAAATTGAATTTTTCTATGTGGTAACTCAATAAAGTACAATAGTTAAAGCCAATTTATAATGGTATATGGCCGTTTTCTGTGCCCAGAGATGCGGAAGGAATAATATGTACACAAATTATAAAGTGCTGAACTCGACCTGCACAAATAATGGAATAAGATTCTGACTACAAGAATAATGCAAGTGTTTCCTAAAATATTTACATTAAAGCCAATACTTCTGTATATTTATTTATAAATATTTTATAATTGCTATTACTAAATATCAAAAACACCCGTAAAATAATCATAATACCTAATTAAATAATGCTTTTCTGTAGCCAAGTTGTATAACAAATGTGGCTGCCTAAAAATGAATTAATAACACAGTTTAAATTGCCTAAATCTGTGATTGATTAAGTGACGTTAAAAGGCCCCGAATAAAACCGGTTGAAAGGGGTTTGGTTGAACGCCGAATTGATGCCGAATTGAATGGCCATCGGTGGCCAGTGTCTCTTGTCTATTCCGCCGACCACTGTTAACCCGCTGTTGCCGACTAACAGCGGCGGACGAAAGAGCCGACCAAAGGCAACTCGGCGAGTTTAATTTTCCATGCAGCTCACAGCGCGGGCTGCAAACCGAAAACTGTTTTTATGCTGCTGCCGCCTTTGTTTTTGTTGCTGGACTGCTCGTATATGGCGCTCGTACGTGGCGGACTTGGGGCTCAAGCTCAGCCGTTGTCAAACACCAAACACCGAGCAGCAGAAATCAAAACCCTGCTCAATCCGGGGGCCAAACTAAGCTCAGCTCCACTCTCCGCTGCTTTAATGCACTGTGAAAAAAATGACATATATTGAACCCTCTGAGGTTTAATTATTTACCATTGATCGGACAAAAAACTCTAAATATTTCTTACACGTTTTGGAGGATTTTAAATTTAATTAACTTGTTACAAGAACTAAAACGATTCTTAAAATGTTTTGCTTGATAAACATATATATTCTATTTAACGCAACTTTTCATTTTTAAACTTTATCTAATTGTCAGGATTTTACTTTGCTTTGTAATTTAAAACTGATGTCTTCATTATTTCTCATAAATATTTTTAGGTTTGACAAGGGAATGTAATTTATGAAAATATGTAAAAGAAATCTTAAAAAACTTCATACAAGTATTTTTAACATTAATAAATTGTATTTAAGGTGTAAACAAAATAAGTAAAAAAAATATTTGAATGATAAAAACCCTCATCTTAAGCGAAGAGAACCAATTAGTCCCTTCGAAAATGAAATAGATGGATGAGAACACTTCAAAATATCCTGTTGAAGAGAATTATTTTTGTTTGTTTTAAATAAGACTATTTTCCCTGAGTGTCGACGTCGGCGTCGCTGCCGTGGCCGTTGTTGTCGTCGCCTTGTCTTGGCAGTTGGCGGCGGCAGCGCTCAAATCAGTTTCAGTTTTTCAGTCCAACGTGCGAGTTCGAAGCGACAAGCGGTCCACTTCGCCTTTTTGGGGGCCAGGATTTTTGAAAGTGACTAGTGACTAGTGGCAAGATATGTGCGGTTAGCCACGACAGTTTGCAGTGTCTCGAAAGCCCCAACACACTCGACTAACAATCCAATCGAATCCAATCGAATCGAATCGAGTCTAGATCAATCCAATCCAATTCCCACTGCCAGCTCAAGGAGAATCGATTTTGTAGCTTGTGGATACGCGGCGCGGAGTCGAGCTTGAAAAATGGTGAGTGCGAATGTGTGTCAGAGGCATGGAGCTATGGAAATTACCATATCCACAACAACCCCCTGGCAGAACAAAAAGCATGCCAAAGAATATTGAAAGTCCGTTGACGCAACGGAAAAATGAATGCTAAGCAGCAGCAACTCCATGGCAGTTGGAGAACGTAAACGTAAACCAAGACTGCACGGGAAAAAATATTCTTTGTGGATACATTTTTCAACACACTTCTTTTTCATTAAAAGGCAGTAGCATATTTAAATTAAAAAAAAAAGGGCAAGACTAGACTTACAAAAAATATTTGTTCGAGTTGTTAATAGCCATAAACAAACTTGCAGAAAAGTATCAAAAAACTCCACTTCTAAGTCCATAACTTTTCTTGCAGACATCCAATTTTAAAATGTCATACTTATAAATGATTGTGTTTTAATTCGTTAAAAATCTGTGTTTTCACTTTATTTTTTTTTTTTGGGTCGATTTTCCGTCATTTTCCAAATTTTCGAAAAATGGCTTTGCAGAAAAGTGACCTAAAACCTACACTTCTAAGCCCATAACTTTTTTTACAGTCATCCGATTTCAAAGTGGCATATATCTAAATGACTGTGCTTTAATTCTCTATAATCACAAAATATTTAAAAAATTAAAACGGGCACTTTAA